ATAGACTGGTAGCTGTTGAACTCAATAAAGGATATTCCACAAAGTATTAAATTAAGTTAATATGCTTTTTTTGTTTTGTACGAATACTTTTTTCATCAGTTAAAATGAAAAAATGCTTTAATTTCTGTTAGAATAAGAATTAAGTTTATTTACTATTTTTTAATAAAATGTATCTTTACACATAAAATGTATCAAAATTTGTTTTAGTAAGGCTTTTACATTTATAAAAATACAATTTTTCATGTGTACAAATATTTATTCTCCCCCACTGTATATATATATATATATATATATATATATATATATATATATATATATATATATATATATATATATAATTCAACAACAGCATGATTTACTTACTTTTGTTTACTAGGCATTTAATTACGTTACATAGTATCCTGTATATTTTACCTAGATTTTTCAGTTAGATTGATGAATATTTATATGCGCTTCTTTAATTTAAAATGTTTGAAAAACTATTTTATGCATGTTTGATTAAGAAAAAAACACTAAAAGTACAGTGTTGATTAATATTTTTTTTTAAGTTTTAAAACATTTTAATAACTTTTTTGATTTACAGTTTGTATTTGCAAATTAAACGTCCCGTACCCGAGTACATTCGGCTAAAACCACCAGCCATTTTCAAAGACACTTCTTGTTTGTTAAGGCAACACCATAATTTTCTTTTTTTTTTGCGTATTGGCTTTTGGCGCGTTTCGCGTACTCACGTGAGATTTCCTGGCTTCTACCATTTTTTAATCTAATATATTTAGCATGTTTGGTTCGATGTTTGATATAATTTTATTGAACATTTTTTTGCATGCTTTTTATTCTCTATACCTCGAGCATTCTTGTCGCGGGTTTTCTTCATAAATTATCTTCCACGTTACAAGCCCTTTCCTACATACATAACGTCGCAAGCCTCTCGTTGATCTATCGCTATTTCCATGACATGTGGTTCTGACGAGCTACATTCCTTAGTCTCACTAATCCTGACCTTTGCATGGGAACTGCCATGCGATGCACACAAGGATGAATATTTTCCATTGCCTTCATATTCCTTGAGTAAGAAGTAATTTCTGCTCAGTTTTTTCTTTAGTAATGCTTCACTGTGTAACTAATTCTCGACAGAGTATTTTTCCAGGCACGACAATCTTACCTTAAAGTCTAGGGATAATTGTCATCTTTCTTGCATAACCCTATAGATTTTTGCCTTTCCTTACGATCATATTATACTATACAGTAATCCACTACTTTGAACAGCCCTTGAGCCTTGTGTTGGGGTAACATTAGTATAAAATATATAGATTTATAACAAGAGGAAACGATTTTCAAGAAGACAATATTTGTGGGAAACACAAAACTGCTGCCGCAAAGGAAAAAAAAATCTAATTTTAAAGTTGCAGTGTTCGAAAAACTGATAACGATTAAATTTCAAAGAGTTGATATTAATATGGAAAATAAGGACAACTTATATATGCACATGACATATAGTGTTAATCAAGTATATTTTCTTAGCTGTATATCTTTCCGGTTTAGTCTTAAATTGTTGCTGCATTTTAGGATCAGCGAAAAAATCTATCAAAGGAAGATAACTCCAGGTCAGATAACTGCTAATTACTCAATCTTTTCCCTGCGTTTACTTCATGAGAAAATAAAGAAGAATAATCAAGGAAAAATCTCTGCTCCGTCTGTATTTCTCTCTGTCAAGCATTGTGTCATACCCGTTACCGTATTTTAATAATAATAACAATAACAACAACAATGTATTTGTAAAGAGTTGTAATATAAATGATATTGATATAAAGGCGACATTTAAGCGTGGAATAATAAACGAAATTACAGTGAATAAATGAGCAGATATTATTGTGAGTGTGCTTCGGGGAGTTTGTACGAGTAAAACACATAAATGTTGATAAATGGTCACAGATGAACTGGAATGGTATGAGAATCAGAAAGAGTTCAAGAACAGAACGGGAATAATGAAGACAAATGAGAGAAAATGGAAAATAATGCATCAATATAAACTGGTTGAACGTGAATAGACAAAGAATAAATAAGTTAATTGCAATAAAAGATTCACATTTAAATTGAACGAAAGAGAGAAAAGAAAAAAAATGGCTTCAGCAATTCGGAGTAAAAGGGAGGGAATGACACAAAAGATAAGCAGATTTAAGAAAAATAAGAAAAGGTGAAGGAAATAATGTCAAGGAGGAGAAGAAGAAGACTGTCCTTTGAAATTAGCAGCAATTTCTTAGTACGACATTGGCTTAATATATCCGGCCAAAATAACGCCAAAATCAGTGACAATTGTAGATCACATAGAATATTGATTCCGAGCGGAAATTAAAACTGAAGACAGAATTCACATTTAATGGGCCTAAAGCACTCCTCTCTGCTTTTTTCTTGGCTTAGAGCGTCAATGTTCCAAGATGGCCTTCACAGCCGTCTTGACGCTTCTAGCTTTCCCGCCATTCAGAAAAGCGTTTGCCACTGAAAAAGATTTATTTATTGCAGACATTATTGTGTTGATTTGGCTGCTATTGACTTTGTTCTACTTCCATCAGTTTTGCTTTTCATTACATGATGGCGCTTCTACGTCCGTATATACTTCGATATGTGAATTGGTACTCAACAGCTTTTGCGGGTGTGTTTTATGTGTATGTATGAGTGGTGTCCACGCTCTTTACACCGCCTAATACAAGGATGAGTGCGCACACACGTTTATTTGATTTTATTGTTCTCAGGAATATTGTTCGTTCTTTCAACAATGTTACTTTAGATCTAATTATTTTAATATGCATGCATTAGGTATAAGGGCGTACGAACACCACACATACTTAGACACAGTAATATATATATATATATATATATATATATATATATGAAGAAATATAGTTTTAAGGTATGCTATATTTATGGGATAAAGTGCTCAATATCAGAGTTAGAGCGTATGTAAATATAAATATAAAAGTGAACATAAATATAAAAGAGTTGACTTCAACGTTCATTTATATATATATATATATATATATATATATATATATATATGATATAATTTCATTTTAAGTATAAGTATTTTAAGTTATGCTGTATTTACGGGTAATATCGGAGGATATAGCGTGTGTAAATATAACAGTGGAACCTTAGATTAATAATGAGTGTCGACAGACTAGAAAAATCTGCGCATTCAGTTGAAAAAATACGAAAAACACCCGTGAAAATGATTAATAGAATAGCAGAAAGCTCTAGGATATATGAGATATTTGGACAATTTTTACACATTTTATGTCCATAAAATAAAAAGAGTAAAGAGAGAGAGAGAGAGAGAGAGAGAGAGAGAATATTAGAACATGCATAGAATAGTCAAAGATGCATGCATACAAATTTGCACACACACACAGGCCAATATATATATATATATATATATATATATATATATATATATATATATATATATATATATATATATATATATATATATATATATATTAGGTTGGTGCAAAATAATGTCATTTTTGATGTTCAACTTCAAATCAAAAAAACGACTATTATAGACTACATTTCATTTAATAGAAGTAAATGTATTAGGATTACTAACTGTAAGTAAAATTATTTTTCCATATCAAGTATATCTCTATTACGATTTTTAAAAAATAGCTAATTCATTTCTATGATTTAGTAAACTTTATTTTTTTCTTTTTTATATAAACTTAGTAATATATAGTTGCACATGTATGTACAAAGGACATGAGTCATTCAAAACCTTTTAAAAATCGTAATATCCATATACTTGATATGGAAAAATAATCTTACTTAATATAAGTAATTCTAATACATTTACCTATAAAAACTAACAATGAAAATATTATAAAATGTAATTAAAATTGTAGTTAATTAAAATGAATTCTAACCTAAACTTTTTTTAAACTGTAATTAAATAAATAAATAAAGTTTACTAAAACCGAGAAATGAATTAGCTTTTTTGCCGTAAGTGAAAATTTTTTTTATTTAAATAATATTTAAATATAAAGAATTTAAAAATCGTAATATACTTGATGTGATAATAATTCTACAAACTGTAAGGGATTCTCATTACATTTAATTGTTCTTAAAAGAAATATAGTATATTAAAAATTAAAAGTAAAATATTTCAAATCGTAGTTAAATAAAAAGTATTCTAACCTAAACACCCCCTAAAAATCTTTAAATATACGAAGGAAAAAAATGCCGTAAGAATCGTTGCCGTTAACAATAAAATTAAAAAAAAAAAATCCAGACGACACGCTTTTAACGGATGTTAGATTTCATTGAAAAATACATCCCTACCCACTACCAAAACGTAGCAATAACTGATACATTAAATATAGGCATATTGAACAACCAGACAACCCCTCGTCTAGTAAAATGAATTCATCTGTAACCTTGGAAACATGAATTATGATTTTAACTGTGTCTTTAAAACCCAGTAATTTTAAAAGTTACTCCAAAATTCGCTTGAGGAGGAAATGGAACTAATGTCTTTAATTTAATTACAAAATTAAATTCGGGGCTTTTAGCTTCCATTTTTGAAACATGGTTAGAACTGTGTAGCAGAAAAAAACATATTTTAAATCAATTAATTTATAATATTAATGCTCTGTAAATTTACATTGAGCACTATTTTGTAAAAATAAAAATATCCATAAGAACACTGGATTATATATCTTACTGTTCTTTCTTTATATATATATATATATATATATATATATATATATATATATATATATATATATATATATAAAAAAACTTATGGAACAAAAAATTTACTTTTAATTTAAAGTTTTTAGTTCCGAAACATGATAATTTCTGTGTCGCGATGAATACATAATTTTAAATAATAATATAATATAAAATATATATATATATATATATATATATATATATATATATATAATATAATATAATATAATATATATATATATATAAAACAGGTAAAATAATTTAAACAAAATAAATAAATAAACAAATAAACGACTTCCGGTAAAATAACCGCCAAAATAGACTACCCACAATGCACCACTAACCCGTAATATAAATAGCCGAGAAAAATAACTGCACTCGTGGCCTAAAGATTGCGTCTAGCATGAAACAGACTGTCGCCTCTAAGTGTTGACTTCTATGTTCACTTTTACATGCGCTCTATCTCTGATATTGAGCACTTTATCCCATAAATATAGCACACCTTAAGACTATATTCCTTCATATATATATATATATATATATATATATATATATATATATATATATATATGAATTCAAATATATTTTGTTAAATATAACAGACAACGAAGGTGTATTATGTTTGATCATAAGCCGTTCTAAGCTTCGTATAGTTACTTTAATTTCGGTAGAAAATAAAGAAAAAACTGTCCAACATTTGGATATTTTTTATTTTGCTGTTCCTCGATCCAAGCTTTCGTATCACATGAGCTATCATCAGAGTGGTTATAGGGACATTACAACAGAGATGCTCACCATCAAATACGACATATTATTTTTGTTATGCGACGATAACGGTCGCGGACTAGCAGACGCTGGTCACAAATTCTTTATGCGGTTCTCTGACGTCGAAGCTAAGAGTAATAAATGTTTTCAACAGAACTTCTATGTAAGTCAGTCAAGTCTTTCTGTAACTAATAAACCATCATCCGCGCGGGTTACATTATCTTCGAATAATTCACCAGATCCGCAAAACATGGAAAGCATAAAGTGATGCACATGGTCCGCAGTCAGATCTCTGAATATTTCAGCTGTCAAGAGAGATTCCAGGTTTAAAAATCGGTCCTGGCCAAATCCAACAAAATCACATTGTACATCGTTCGAGAACCAATATACTGATATCACGCAAACTCTGTGATTTGTTGGAAGTGACTGGAAGACTGGACTAGGCAAGATAATGTCAAGTGTCCAACGATTCGACGATGAGACGCGTTAACCGATGTCGTGCTGACAGTTATGGTGACATTATTGGTCAAAGATTACGAAACCTCGTGAAATAGATCGTGAACTGATTGACAGGTTGCGTGCCATCAGCGCTGAATTGCTGTATGATCTTTTGCAATATTTACTCACTGGTGATCGAGTTCTTACATCACCGACAAGTAATGAGACATTTCTTGTGCCGTCGCCGTCTGTTAGGAATTCACATAGTTCTGGTAATTCATTGCTACTGAAAAATTTATCTCCTTGGAGATGAAGAACCCTTTTCTGGCGCCAACATTCTCTGCACAGTCGTACGTTCAACCCTATCTACATACGTCGCATGATTACCGCAGTTATTTTATATATTTTTTTTAATCAGTGCACCACAAGCAAGGCAATAAATCCACTAAGATACATAGGGTTACTGAGTATGAAAGAATGAGAAACCTTATTAAGAAGCGAGAACAAGAAAAAAAGAGAATTCAAGAAGAAAGTAGAAAACACTTGACATTGCATTTAAATTTTTGAAGATCAAATTTGGTTGGAAAGCATTGAACTGGCAAAGAATACCACAAACGAAAAATGCGGGAGAAGACACTTTTAACATAGAACTTACGGTTGCATCTAGCCAATTCATCTGTAAGATGATCAGAACTCCTTACCAATCTAGTACTGCGCTTAAATTCATGAAGTCTAGGTACGATAGCGGAAATTTCATCAGAACAATTACCACGAAAATATTCATTGAAAAGTGTTGAAACTTGACTAATGCATGGAATAATAATGCAACACAAAATGTACTTAGAACAAAATGTATTGAAACAAGAAAGTGTACACAATATTTACATATAATCTTTTGTATATTCCTGGTAAGACCGTTCCTGGAGAATGTGTTGACTGAGTCGCAGTCGGGCAGAGTCTCTGGTTGAATCTCTTGATTCCCCCCTCTCTTCCCGGTACCAACCATATTTATATGGTCGGTACTCCACTATGCAAATTAGGTGGATCCTACCACAACAAAAAGACACAGGTAAATTACATTAAGGCAGTAGAAATGTAACTGAAACCTAGACGCCAAGACAGGACCAAAAATATTGCTGATTCTTCTTTGGATTTTATCGACAATCTGTAAATACATAGCAGGAAATCTTTAATTCTTTAGTTGAATTTAAATATATAAATTCATATTTCATTATCTCTTTATATCTCTGAGATGAGGTATTATGATTACTTATTATTTACATTATTGGGACTGTTATTCCCATCTTCATTGTCATATTCAAAATGGATAAAGATATTGGTTAGATCAAGTTACTAGACCCAAAGAGTTGTGAGTTCAATACCAGGCCATAGCTGTGGTGAACCAAAACCTTAGAGATTTGAGTTAAAGGGAAATAACTGAGACACCAGGAAGAGACATGGCACGTGGAACCAGAACAATCTACGCCAGTCGACAAAATGAAAAGTTCGGTTCGAAATTCCAATCACTTGAAGAAAACCGGAAGTACAACGACCAAAACATTGCGAATATGG